CCTGTTGAAGGGGTTCCTCGTCTTCTTTCAGGTTAACATTCCGGAGACAGAGGTCATGCCCTCTGTGCTGAGCCGGCGGTGGGAGTAGAACTTGTTTTGTGGCTGAACGTCCCCCTCCCCCGCCCCACCGCAGGTCTAAGCAGCTAGTCCGTGACCTGACACGGAGGAGGGGAGCTCCGGTTGGGGGTGTGGGCTGGGGGCTTCCTGCTCTTCAGCCTCGGGGCTCTGGTTGGGGCTTCCTCTGCCTGGGGACACTCCCAACCCCCTTTTCCATTTATTTGAATTCTCTTATTTCCTAGTTTCCTGGTGGCCTCTTCCCCCTGGGACGCGAGCCCCACGGGCAGGGCAGGGCAGGGCTGCCTCCAGGCTGGTCCTGGCTGTGTCCTCAGGTCCTCAGCAGTCACTCCTGGCCAGAGGACAGGCTCAAGACTATTTTTTTTTAAATGAGTCTAGAGGTCACTTAAGGTTACTTGGCCCAATGGCCAGCACGGCGGAAACTACGTCTATGAGAGCCCGGACAGGTGGGCACGACCCTTCACACCTTTGGGACGGAGGGATCACCGCTCACAGGCAGCCTGTCCCCGTCCGTCTGTAATGAAACATTTCCATGTGATATGAAGTCATCTCCCCGAGCCCTAGCCGGTGGCTCAATGGTTAGAGCATCGGCCTGCAGACTGAAGGGTCGTGGGTTGATTCCGGTCAAGGGCACGTACCTCGGCTGCAGGTTCAAACCCCGCCCTGGTTGGGGCACGTGCGGGAGGCAAACAGTCGATGTGCCTCTCTCTGTGTCTCTTCCCCTCCCTTTCATTCTTTCTAAAAAAATCAATAGGAAAAAAATATCCTCTGGTGAGGATTCACAAGAAAAGAGTCGCTCCCCGTAACTGCTAGCCTCGCTCTCAGGAGCTTTCTGCCTCCCGCAGCCTGCTCTGCTCCCGCTATCCCTTCTCCTGGTGCCGAGGCCTGGGCAGAGCCCTAGCCCTTCTGGACCCCAGGTCTCTGTGCAAACGGGAACCATTTCTCATTTTGGTCCAAGGGGCCAGCAGGAAGACTAGGGCAGGGGTCCTCAAACTACGGCCCGTGTGCCACATGCAAATACAAATATTGTATTTGTTCCCGTTTTGTTTTTTTACTTCAAAATAAGATATGTGCAGTGTGCATAGGAATTTGTTCATATATTTTTTTTAAACTATAGTCCGGCCCTCCAACGGTCTGAGGGACAGTGAACTGGCCCCCTGTTTAAAAAGTTTGAGGACCCCTGGCCTAGGGGATTCTGCAAACCTGTGCAAGTTAGGAGAGAAGCCATCTTTGATGGGGGAGGATGCTGCAGCAGCCGGCATCTAGCCCGGCCCTTCTGCTGAGTGTGGAGACAGCAGGACGGGGGTCTGTCTGATCTCCTGAGCAACCTCACACAGATCAGCTCAGATGCTTGACTAGACGCCCCAGCGGGCGAGTGCGGAGGGGAATCTGCCCCCAGGCTGGGCCCCCAGGCAGGGGCTCTGCAGGTCTCCGCAGGCCCATCAACCTCGCCTCCTGGCTGGGGTGCCAGACCCCACGCCCTGGGCCCTGCAGCCGCCCTGGGAACCTGGCCCAGCCTCTGTCCTGCCTGAGGGGCCAGCTCTGCGGTGTGCGCTCTCAAGGTGTGGCCGCAAAAACCAAACAAGACGAAACCTCAAAGGGCAGCCATGTGGCCCTTGTCTTCAGAATCTTGTGTCCTGAACGGCTGGATCTTCATGCGGGCGGCTTTGTCTCCGAAGTGGCAGAACAGACAGCTCATCTCTGGGCAGGAAACACCTCTGGGAGAGTCAAAACCACGCTGTACCCCAAGTCCCTAACGAGGACCGGGGCATCACCCAGGGACACCCAGGACTCCCGACGCTCCCTTCCTCGCTGAGCACCTCTGGGCACCTGGCTCCATCGTGCCATTTTAACTAACCCAGTGAACGCGCGTCCACCTTTCAAAGGAATCTGAGGGCGCCGCTCCTGCCAAGTCCTGAGTCCGCGGGACACTCCAGAGCGGGGGCCCGGCGCTGTGTAGGTTGAGGAGGTCCGCGCAGAGCGGAGATTATAGGGAGAGCCTGCCTTTCCTTGCAGGGGCTTGTTCTGCATCCTGAAATCTCAGGTTCAGCTGCCACAATGAAGTCCTGTTACCCAGAGAGCTGGCCTTTTATCACCACTTAAAATCTAATTAATCCATATTGAAGCACAAAGATTTCTGTTGTCCTTTAGGGTGAGGGTCACAGAGGCCCCTTTGTTCATCCTCAGCCTTCGTATCATCGAGCATTGGGGGTATAGTTTTACCAGCAGGTCAGCTCCTTATCAGAAGGCCTAACGCGCAGTTTTCGCAGAGCCCCTCATCCTTTACATGAAACACTATATTCAAGAACAAACACGCACTTCAGAGTGGCCAAGGAGCGAATGACCAGGCGGCAATGCCCCGAGCTTATATCCCAGGCAGCATCGCCCCGAGGCCAACCGGCACACGCCGTCCCCACAGACAGCGGCTCCTATAGGGGCGGCGGAAGGCGCGCGCTTGGCTGCGATGGCTTTAGTCTTGAGAGTGGTCATGCAATTCGTTGGACTTGCACTGTCTGTGCTGGGATGGGTTTTATCCATGATCACAACTTACCTGCCGCACTGGAAGAACCTGAACCTGGAGCTGAACGAGATGGAGAACTGGACCCTGGGCCTGTGGCAAGCCTGCGTCGTCCGGGACGAGGTGGGGAGGCAATGCAAGGACTTCGACTCCTTCCTGGCCCTGCCCGTGGAGCTCCGGGTCTCCAGGGTCCTGATGTTCCTGTCCCACGGGCTGGGGCTCCTGGGCCTGCTGGTCTCGGGGTCTGGGCTGGACTGCCTGAGAGTCGGAGAGAGACAGCGAGAGCGGAAGAAGCGGCTGCTGATCCTGGGAGGGGTCCTGTTCTGGACGGCGGGCGTCGGGGTCCTGGTGCCGGTCTCCTGGGTCGCCCACGTGACCGTGCAGGAGTTCTGGGACGAGACCCTCCCGGAGGTTGTGCCCAGGTGGGAGTTCGGGGAAGCCCTCTTCCTGGGCTGGTTCGCTGGGTTTTGTCTCCTCCTCGGGGGGTGCCTGGTGACCTGGGCCGCCTGCTGCACCCAGGCTCCGCTGGCTGCGGGCCAGTACGCAGCGGCAGACACGCAGACGCAGTGTCCATGCCTGGAAAATGGGACTGCGGCTCCAAAAGTGTGACTTGGACAAGACCAGGGAGACCTCTCTTCTGCACCAACAGTGCTGTAGGTGTGCACAGGAAAGGGGTCTTTGTTATGTAACTAAATCTGCGCTGCTCACATTTTCTCATATAATAATTACTTTTTTATCCTAGATCTCCCCCTCCCCCCAAAAAATCTGGAGAAGAGGCAGTCTCATATCTACAAGAAAATTACTATGTTAAGCATTACATAGGTCTGAGCAAGAAAAAAAGTAATTGATCTGTTTATTTAAATAAAACTGGTGGTGGTTGTCCAGTATGGTCCGTATTAAGTTTTAATGTGTTTATTTTACATTAGAATCGTTTTTGTTTGTTTTTGTTGGTAACTGGAAATAATAATTACTTTGTTTCCTAAAGAGAAAAACTAACAGAGACTCTACACTGGCAAAGCCACAGGTTAAACTCATTCCGAAGTGTAATTTCCACAACAGTGACTTTGTTCTCTGATCAGAGGTGGTTTGTGTTTAGGAAATTACAAGGCAACGGGCGTGAGTGACAGGGTTTATGAGGCTAAAAGGTTTTTACATCACGATGCTCTCCGATTCTAAATACTGGCCAATTTCCTCTTTCATCTCATCCCTCAAAAGCTTCATTATTAAAAAGATAAACAATGAGAAACGTTTGCTTGATATTGAGATAGTGACAGTTCACTTGCTCTGAAAAAAACTTTCCTTTGTTCAGTTAAAAACTACAAGCTTTAGCCCTAGCCGTTTGGCTCAGTAGATAGAGTGTCGGCCCGCAGACTTAAGGGTCACGGGTTCGATTCTGGCCAAGGGCACGTACCTCGGTGGCAGGCTCGATCCTCAGCCCCGGTCGGGTGGTCGGGGGAGAGGGCATGTGAGAGGCAACCAATTGATGTGTCTCTCTCACATGGATGTTTCTCTCTCCCCCTCCCTTCCACTCTCTCTCTGAAAATCAATGGAAAAATGTCCCCAGGTGAGGATTAACAATAAAACAGACGAGCAAAATGACAAGCTTTATACTTTAGTGCCGCAGCGAGAGATGTTGGTGCTAATCCACAGGTCCCGCTGCCTCCCTCTGCCACAGCGTGGAGAGCACATGGCAGCCAAGAAGCAGCGAGTGCTGGCGCACCTGGGCGTGCTCTGACAGAGGGGACTGTGGTAATCAGGCTTGAGAGCGTGTTTAGTGTAATTTCAGGTGTTATGTGGTATATGTAGCCTAAGGAATTTTTTAAAAGTAGGCCTGATTTAAGATCTAGAGCGATTTCTGAGGAGATGGATTTATTTGGTTAAGAAATACTTTTCTTGAACTTTTTTTTTTTTTTTAACGATAACACTCGGTGTTACCACAACGCATTCCTGAAATGTGAGAGCCGTCACGGGTGGAGGCCCGGCAGGTGCGATTAGCCGGAGAGAAAGCGGCAGGAGCTGAACCCGAACTGTCAATTACATGTTTTGCATTCAGACTTCTCTGTGCTTTGACTTGCAAGGGAGGTTGGGAATCGGACGAAAGCCATTGAGACGTTAACAATGAAAGGAGGTTCTTACTGCTTCGTGTTATTTCAGGGACAAACTGCTTACTAGAAAATTGATCTTGGCCACTCCTTGACATGACTGGTTTGCAGAATTAGTTCCCTTTCCTTTCCTGAAACCCATTCAGCATGGAATCAAACAATAGCCACTCTGGCAAGAATCCTCTTATACACACAATGAAAAAAGATTTCTGAGCTCTGCAGGTGATAACCGAAGTCCGTCACACTTTTCACAGCAACCCAGAGGCAGCAGTGAGTTGGGCGAAAGCTCACGGGACTTCATAGTAATGGCTTTCGTATTTAGAACTGTGGCCCAATTAGCTGGAATGTCGTTATCTTTGCTGGGGTGGGTTTTAGCCTGTCTCACCAACTACCTGCCGCACTGGAAGAACCTGAACCTGGACCTGAATGAGATGGAGAACTGGACCCTGGGCCTGTGGCAGGCCTGCGTCGTCCAGGAAGAGGTGGGGATGCAATGCAAGGACTTCGACTCCTTCCTGGCCCTGCCCATGGAGCTCCGGGTCTCCAGGGTCCTGATGTTCCTGTCCCACGGGCTGGGGCTCCTGGGCCTGCTGGTCTCGGGGTCTGGGCTGGACTGCCTGAGAGTCGGAGAGAGACAGCGAGAGCGGAAGAAGCGGCTGCTGATCCTGGGAGGGGTCCTGTTCTGGACGGCGGGCGTCGGGGTCCTGGTGCCAGTCTCCTGGGTCGCCCACGTGACCGTGCAGGAGTTCTGGGACGAGACCCTCCCGGAGGTTGTGCCCAGGTGGGAGTTCGGGGAAGCCCTCTTCCTGGGCTGGTTCGCTGGGTTTTGTCTCCTCCTCGGGGGGTGCCTGGTGACCTGGGCCGCCTGCTGCACCCAGGCTCCGCTGGCTGCGGGCCAGTACCCGGCGGCAGAAACGCAGCATCTCCGTCACCCCCTGGAGATGAAAAACACTCGGCTGACAGTCTAAGCCCGAGGATCCGGGCGGCCACGGCGCAGGGGACGCTTGCTGAGCCCGGGACCGGGTAGGATTCCCTGCTGCCTGGTCACCCAGGCACTACGCTAGCAACTTTCTAACATGCATTTTCCCCAGGGGCGACTGGCTCCCTGAACTGTGATTTCCTTCCCAGGCGGTAAACCACTTTTATCTTCTACTCTGAGGCCAAAACCAATCAAGACTTAATAGTAATCAAGCTCCTTTCTGCGGAGGAGTTTCCTCACTTCTGAAGTAGACCCAGTGACTGCACAGAACTGGTAAATGAAACCTTCTACCCGTGTTACGCCCCTGAAGGTGTTCCTCAGAGAGACGGGTCATTCCGGCCGTGGGAGATGTTACTGCTCATCAAGCCCTTCTCCCCAGTGTTTGAGATGACCTACTCCACAGAAACAGGCTCACGGCATATTTATTTAAACTGTATGACATCTGATTAAACTAAAAAACGGCTGTTCTTTGAAAGCTGGAGAGGTGAGGGACGTGGACACATCGTGTCTTTAACCAGAGACCTCAGGGGTTCTGGCCTCTCACTTATGCCTCCGCCCCAGGCCAGGGGCAGAGGAGGGCAGACTTGAGTATTGGAAGGGTCACTAAAACCCACCCACAAGCCTGCTTTTGCATCTGGACCCTGTGCTCCGCAGCAGATGGTAAACACTCACTGCACCCCCCACCCCCTGCAGGGGGCGCTGCAGGCCAGCCCGGTCTGGGTGTGTGGGCAGAGCTCATATGGAGCCCTTGTTTTACTTGCACAATGAAAATATTCTGGTTTTTTTTTTTTTTTTTTTTTTTTTTTTTTTTTTTTTTTTTTTAAATCAGCAATGCATATCCTCCAACCAAGAAGTATCCACAACAAACTGATGGCCTGGGGGATGCTTCATGAAAGATTTTATATTTGTTCTGTACACAGGTCAAGTCAATTCTTGTGTTTGAGCCAATCAGGGAAATTACCTGAGCAACAAACGACACAGATAAAGTCTTAGGGAATATGTATCTTTGTTGAAAAAACAAAAACAAAAACAGAACAAAAACCACTGAATATTTTCCACCCACAAACACATGAAAAGTGCAGAAACCAGTTAATCTATGTGATATATTTGCACACTTTTACAAACAAGACAAATTAAAACAGAAACATATTCAGAATTTAACCTGATTAAATATTTAGTTCAGTCCTGAGCTTTTGATATTTAATACAATATAAAGTAATAGCAAAAAAAAGAAAAAAAGGATTTAAAATTTTTTTGATTTGCATGCGACAGAGATTCAGCTAAACTTTGTTCATTTGGCTAGCAGTATGCTTTTGTACCTGTAACACTTAGATTCTGATATACAAAACTGTAGTAACATGTTGATAATTCAAACTTGAGAACTAAATATTACATTCTTTTTACCCTGTGCAGAATAAATTCTACCTTTAAAAAATAGCATTTATAGTATTAAAATTCATATTGTCCATATGGTTTTGTGATCAAGTTATTAAAATGTGTCACTGTGAATCATTTGGGTTAGTACAAATATGACAGGATTGTTAAAAGCTTCCTATAAATGTATAACACTATGGCTGATTTTTAAAGTGTGGAAAAGGATTATATTAAAATAAGTTTATCTCTTGTGTTAGAAATAAGCAAATTTTGTAAAATAAAACCGAAAGCTTCTTGGTCACAACTGCTAACTACCAGCCGGAGACAGATTTTATTCTCTTATACTCGTATGAAACTTTCTGTATTGCAAAAAGTTAACAGCTGATCTGGTGATTTATAAAGCTGTAAATATTCCAATATAGCTTCTTCTATGTCAAACATTTTAAATGGCCAGAACCGAACTATATATTAAACAGAACATAAATAAGACCGTAAATAAATAAATGAAGAAAATAAAATCGTACGGTACAACTACACATAATTCTATAAACATTTTCATGGTCAAACTAAGAAGCTGAAAACAGCTGACCTTCATTTATCTCTACATTAAATAAACTTCTCTTTCACATTTGACCTTGACAAGGATGGATGGCATTCTTCTGTAGTTTTCCTTAACAGGCTGAGAATGGACTGGGCAGACCCGAAGGACTGAATGTGGTCAATTCATAAAGCTGGTTTTTGCTCAAAGTAGTGTCACGTCCAGTTATAGCTTCAAAGACATTTGTATGGAAGTGGTGGGACACTCAGGAAACAATCAAGTTCAAGGCTCAGAAACTGCTTCATTTGAATTTTGATTCTGATAAAATTCACTTTCTGAAATATGTGTAACTGCTTTCAAGAAAATAAAAATTCTTGCTATTGAGGATTCTTGCTTAGAAACAGAACTGTGTGTGTGTGTGTGTGTGTGTGTGTGTGTGTGTTTAAAGGGGCCTATTCCTTTAAGATGATTTTTGCATCTCTAAAAAAAAGGATTTAGTTTGCTATAAAAGATGGCTGGTCAAAAATCGCCTCTCCCAGTATTACAAACTGAGTATTAAATTGCATAGAACGATTTAAACGCCTACATGCTGGTGGGCTGCACTGGGGTTTTGTTCCTTCTAGGGAGGCCTGGCTGGGCCAGCTGGAACTCTGCGCTGGGAGACGCTGCAGGGATGTTTCAACAGCTCTAAGCGTCCATCCGCAACGACTCTGAGACAGATGGCTTAGCCAGCACTTCAAGTCCAGTCTCCCAGGCACTCTCTTCTCCTTGCCTCCCAGCTCCTCCCAGAGAGACAGGATCCCCTCAATGAGGCTGCAAGGAGCTGCTACGAAATGTTACAAACCTGTTTAAGAAAAGACTAAAATTCTTTGTGTGTGTTTTGGCACCTTTGGTTCAATCAGGACACCCTTTCCTCTGTTCCTGGTTTCACCACACAGATGCCGATGGGTTTCCCTCCCCGTCTTCAGCTCTGTCCTTAGGACGAGGGCCACCACCTTCCTCTATTGACACCATCCCACACCCCGGACGAGCCAGACTCACACCTGACCGCCCCCCACAGCCTGTGGGGCAGGGGAGCGTGTTTCCGTGGCTGCAGGCACCTCCCCTGCCCTCGGGGTCAGAGGCCGTGAGGCCTTCCGTGCAGCCAGGAGCCTGCTCCCAGGGCTGCATCCTATGTGCTTGAACTCAGCATTCTGTTTTCTTTAGACAAACAAACAAACAAAGACAAAAAAGAAACTGCTCCAAGGAAACAGGTGTTCCAACACAGGTGACGGAGGTGAACACAGCACCTGCTTCAGGCGGCCCTGGAGCTCCGCTCCGAAGCTCATTCACGTTGAACTTGCTGCTCTCGAGTACAAGACACGGCGGGCGCTCGGGCCAGCTTCCCGGCTTCGCAGGAAAACCAGGAAGAGCAAGAGCCGCCTCGGCCGGTTCGCCAGGTCAGCCCTGGGCTCCGCCCGATTCCGTTTACAGCCCACTCCTGCTGTACAACATCTGGGTGCCGGGTTAGCCCGCTTGGTTACCTGATTTTTCTTACTTTTTTATATAAGAATGATATTCCAAGTACTTTACAAATTAGCATGTCGAAATTCTGATGAGAAACAACAGCTCTGTGAGAGCTGACAGTTGCACACCCGCCCCCAGGCAGACCGCAGACCGGGGCTCCGTCTCCCTCCCTCGGGCCGGGGGACGCCGTGTCTGCAGGCGGGTCACACGTCGTCGGCCGGCAGCGACGGGATGCTGATCTTCGCTCGGGTGAAGTAGGCGATCTTCTCCCTAGAGTCGGGGCGAGGAACAACCCCCTCAGTGTGGCGCTGGACACACTGCGACCAGCAGAAACTGTCCCGGCCTCCGGCGGAGTCCCCTCGAGCTCCTGTCCCCAGGGAGACCTCCGCTTAAAACCAAGGGCCTCTGCCCTTCACAGCGGGGGAAGGACCCCAGCTCTGGCTCCAAGGGCAACGGCAGCCGGGCGCAGGCGCCAGCCCACGCTCCCCACCTCACCCCCAGGCCGGCCCGTCTCGCGCGTCTCTGTCACCTGCCGGGGGTGTAACGGGCTTGTACGTGAAGCGCCAGGGGAGCGTTTATAAACCTCTATGTTGGGTTTCAGCAGCAGCCAAGTCGTGCGATTTCCCTGCTGGAGCACCCACCTCCTGGTGCCCACGCACCGAGCGGGACCCGGGGAGCACTGCCCTGCCACGGTGCGCCTGCCGCGGCGGGGCGGGAGGAAGCCGACTCCTCACCATGGAGTATGAAGCCCACGCCGCCGCTGCCTTTCCCTCCGGCGGGCGCACCCCGTGGGCACCGTGCCAGCTCCTCTGGCCCCGGAGGAGCAAAGGGACTCATCCGTCCCACCTGGGGGGAGGGCTGGGCGCCTCGCACCCTGACACTAAGGCCCAGGGCACTCCGCGGGGACCCCTCTGTGATCAGACGCGTGAGGACGCCCGACGTGACCCGCCCCCGCGTGAGCCGGGGCCGGTTACCTGAAGGACTGCACCTGCCGAGGCACCTTGCGGCTCTGCTCCCGCAGCCGACACACGTCCTTGGAGACCTGCCTCAGCAGTTTCTCCGCGTTCAGGTCTTGCTTCTGCTCCTCTTTGGACTGTTCCGCCTGGCAAAGGAATAGACACCCCCATCAGAGACGCCCAGAGACGGCGGCAGGCTTCAAGGATACAAACAAGCCAGCGGGCACCTCGGCAGCCAACGGGGTGGTCTTCTCACCATCGCAGACGACACTCATGTGCAAGGCCCTGCGGAGGCGCAGCGGCCACGGATTCGGGCTTGTCCGTGGTATCGCATTAAAAATGCCTTGTTTCCCAGGCAGGGCGACTGTTTAGGCAGCTGGAAAACCTCAGAACCCTCAGAAAGGAAATGAAAAACTACCCTAGCATCGTGTCCAAGGAACGTCTACTGCTGATGTTCCGGGAAACATACTTTCAACCCCTTATCCACCTTTTCAACCCCCTTCTCTCTGTCTTAGCCATTTAAAAGCTGTTAACGAAAACAGAACTCACATTCCCAAAAGGTGACATAAGTGTACAGCTCAGAGAACTTCTACAGTCTGGACACACCCAGGCCAC